TTACGTTCGATGTTGCCGCTCAAAGACTATTCCTTACCCCAACAGATTGCTTTCAGGCTAATCTTTCTCAAGCCCTTGGCATCATGCCACGAAAGCTGTACTCTCAAACTGACACCCTGTTCTGGCACGGCTGCTGAGCATATAACTGGCAGCGTCTCGCTGGTCTGGAGGATTCATCGCAAAATTCAACTCGCATTGCATCGCCGAAAGCATATTCGATGCTCTGAATACAATTCAGTGTCAGGGTGGGGCCACAAGATAAACACTTTAATCAGGGCTGATGACCTTATGAGACCTTCATGTTTTATTATGAAAACATCTGCCTAATCCTCAACTGCATTTTGCGGCACCGATGTATTTAAGAGAGGATTATCCCTTGCAATATTCATGACCTGACCCAGGCATATTCGGAGATACAACAATAGCAATGTAGAAATTGCCAAAATTTGTTCGTGCTGTCTTAAGGGTCAGATATTATGCATACTGTGATGCGGGCGTGGGGCAGGAGGCAGGGATAGGCTCAGTGATGGGGTTTCAAATCGAGATCCGCCGCGTCGAGAACAACGCTTTCAAATATTTGGTCCAAGCCTTTTAATTGGATGCATACTTGTGATCAGCGTCCACGCTTAATAGCGTCCGTTGCTTCAACCCTGCCTCCAGCACCAGACCGTTAAAATCCGGATGAACAACAGAAGTTAGCTTGAAAAGTTTTAAGGGTATGCTCCACATTTCCAGACACGGAAGTAAGCATCAGAAATGATGAAACAAGCTCACTTGTAACTTTTGGTGTACCTGAAGTGGAAAAGGCTGCTCTAGACAACAAAATTTCCCTCTCAGTGCATTGCACCTGAATGCGTCGTTGTTTATTGCGTCACAGAACGTTTGCATAACGCTGACGTGCCGTCAAAATGGCCGTGCGAAATTGCCACCCTAGCGCCCACTTGTAGTAATTCAAACTCACCGAGGGATGACGGGGATGATGCTGAAAGTTTTCGCTGCGCTGAACTTGTTAGCTGCTCGTGTTTTGTTCTTTTCCCGTGGTGTTCTCCCACATTTACCCGTGAGTTTAAAATGTTTTCTGCATACACGCACCCGGTTATGGCGCTTTTCATACGTTGTTTGACTACAAGCCAACTGACGTTGACGTAAGTTGCGAGCCAACTGACGTCCACTATATCCGGAAATCGTGCTCACGGAAGCCGCTATCTGAACAGCTCAACGATAGTATTTTTCCTGGCCTTGAGCGCCGCATGGCCTTTGAGGTGGGATGACAGGATTTTAATGGCGTTGCTATGACGTCATGCACGCCTGAATGGCCTTGAAATAACATGCACGAAATTGTCTGCACCTTTTCGCGGTCGTGTAGCCCGGAAACTAGGGGATGTTAGGTCTCAGGAAGGACAGGGCCATCAACAGCGCCGAATGATCATCAAAATGGTTATTCCAGTTCAAGGCCCATACAAACGTGGAACATGCCCTTAAACGTGCTGCACTGCTCGATGCGGTCCGTCCTGCCCTCTAACGTCACGTTCTCTTTAACGTTAGGTTTAACGTGCATATCACCGCACTTCCCTTACCCTAGTTGTGTCCACACTAACTGCACGTGGCATTCTGCCTCCAAGCACAATCAACTTCACCACCTCAAAATGTCCAGCCATAGACGTGGCCCTACTGGCCAGGAATGGCCGGGCATTTCGCTGGGGTGCCGGCAAAATGCGCATCCAGGTCATGTGCAGCTTTGAAACGAAGGCATATGGAAGTGGGCCAAACAGGCTGTTAGGACACCCTGACTTTGAGGTCATGTCACCGGCAGCCTTCGACAGTCGTCAACCTGATGCCGAGAGAACTCAATATTCATCTATGCAACTGGGTGAGAGCCCATGAGACCCGTAACCTGTCGATAAAAGGAAATGAGGGCCGTGGGTGAACTCCGGCCAAGAAGGCGTCGATAGGTATATTCATTGGGAGTAGTGCGCTTGAGGTTATTTGGTGCCCATGGCTGTTGAGCCATAACGTGCTGCTAGCGAGTATGATTGTTGTTACCTGGTAAATGGCCATCCATAACCTTGTCACCTTGCATCTCACGGGACAGAGAGAACCGCCCCAACTCCGGCGGAGTCAGCATTGCGACTGAATTAAAATAAAATAACATTAGATGGCGTGGCATGGGAATAGGAGGCACCATCAATTATGCGATGGCAGCCTTTGATCTGATGCGAGGCTCCGCATCAGATTATCTATTATCTTACCTCTTTGACCTACTTAACTCTTATGAACCGTTCACTATACGGGTATCAAAAGCGATCAATGTAAGAGGCGAATCAGCTTCGAATATAAAGTAAGGTTTATATGATATCGCACCCAAGGACACCAAGCCTAAGACAGCCACGATAGCTTTGATAATTGAGGCAGACCTGGTCCCGAGCTTAGCTGCTGATAGGTCAGCAGTAGCGCTGTGTGTTCGGTGGGGCTCGGTGACGTCACAGCACCGTGGGTTCGGTGGGTTCGGTGTCGTCACAGCACCATATGTTCTATGGGGTTTGGTGACATCACAGCGCCGTGTGTTCGGTGAGGTTTGTTGACGTCACAGCACCGTGTGTTCAGTGGGGTTTGGTGACGTCACAGCGCCGTGTATTCTATGGGGTTCAGTGACGTCACAGCACCGTGTGCTCGTTGGAATATAGTGGCGTCACGGTGCCGTGTGTTCGGTGAGGTTTGGTGACGTCACAGCGCCGTGTATTCGGTGGGGTTCGGTGACATCACAGCGCCTTGTGTCCAGTGTGATTCGGTGACGTCATATCTTCTGTCCGCCCACCCGGAGCTAATGGGCTCGGAAAACCGCTCAGATGGCAGCCTTGGCATGCGAGGTGCACTGAGACCGGCGCCTCTCTTTGGACAGCCGCTCGGCTAGCTTCGAAGCCCTCCCCAAACGAAGTTTACGATACCACGTAAGAGCATTTGCTCAGTAAACAGCAGACGGTCAACAGCGTAGGGCACAAAGCTGACGGTCACAGCGCCGCTTCGGGCATTGGGGGCTGCTGCTCCCAGTTCGGGACCAGTGGACAAACACAAGGCTGCAGCAGACTCGATTGTTGCTGTTTTTGTCGCCGGACCGGCGGAAAACAGCTGTGAGATCGATGTCTTTTGTGGATGGCTGCACTCTTCGACACAAAAGCAGGGGTTCGGAATTTATTGCTGGTTTATTTTGGCTTAAGATATACAATGAGGGACCCGGCAGAAAGGCCAGGTGATTGATGCTTCTTTTCTAGACCGGAAAGAGTTTTTTTAAAAATTGGCCTTGGATCACGTTAACATGCATCCAGTTTGAAGAGTTTAAGTTGCAAGGATATGTCTTGATTTAACCTGGTTTGATGTGAACACACAACTATGCAGCATTCCCTGAGACATTGCTCGAGATATCATCAACATGAGTGCAGACAGTCAATATGTTGTAGAGCAGTTATCATGAAGTTATTTGCACAACGACTGGCCTGGTCTGTCAACTGTTACTTCATTGAACGAACCACATGTCAGATAGTAAGGATTCACAGGAACCAACAATCATTTTGACATTTTGCAATTCCGAACCATATAGTTCGTAAAATTTTTCAAATCGCCTCATCTTGCAACATGACAGTATGAACTCTCCACTATTCAATAGAAGTTTCCTCCGTATTTCAGAAGCATTTGACCTATCATATTCGTAATGTCACGGCATCGCTTTTGCTAGTAACGTTACGCATCCTGGCGATCTGCATTTTCATAGTTCAGAGCCAAATTGTCATTCTGGCTGCTTCAAAGGAGAGTTCTAGGAACCAGTTATGCCATAACTTCGTCCAACTGCCAAGTGCGATCTAGTTATTCGAGTTTAAAATCCAATTGAAATGGCCATGTTCTCTTCAATGCTCACTTTCCAAAGTTAAACGGCCAACTGCTAAACTTCTGCGATAACTCACAGCCTTGCGTGTCTCATTCGCGGCTGACAGACGGCTCAAGCTGTTGGCTACCCGTACGTGTACACGCTTTAGCCCACAGTATAGTACATTCCATGATTCAGCCTAGCTCGTATGTACGCGGGTTGCGTGAATGAGCTCTACATACACACCCTATTGCTTTTTTCCGACAAAACAATTTTGTTTGCTTTGAGAACAATGGAAATCACTTACTAAACGGTTTGATGGTACATAGATGAAGCATTAAAGAAATTTCACAGCTAGTATCACCTTGTCTTGACTCAGGATGGTTGTCGACATAAACACATCATGGCATTAATATGGAGCATTTACAAACATAAAATTTGCTAATCTTCGGTGAAAAGCATGGAGTGCAAGCACAAGTGCCTGTTCGGAAGAATCTGCGATGGGATCCTATGTTGCAGGTGAACTGGTCAGCAACAATCAATGTCAAAGTGGTTGGCAAGTTGGTGCAAACGGATGCGCTCGAAGCTCGTGGCAAATAACAGTGCGTCAGCTAAGTAGGGCCAGGCAGGAGAGTCGGCTGTGCCCAGCGGCAGTGTGTAAGCACAGGATCAGAGCGGCGTGGCTTATTTAATGTGGCGGAAACCCACTTACTAACTACCATCTGTCGGTGAGTACCCAACCGACAAAACTGTCATGCGTTAATATATCTCATGTCACCCTCTCAAAGCCCGCACAAACGATCATTCATCTTCAAAGGAGTGACGGCGCCGTTGAAAGTAGGAATGAATGATGCTAAGCGGTTTTCTTTGAAGCTGTCATCGCAGCGCCGGTTTTACCCCACCAACGTCCGCACGCATGAAGGCCACACATCATCAGCCAGACCAAATCCAACCCAAGACGCTGCTTTAGACACCGGCGGCTCTCGAGCAACACGCGCTACCTATCACAGCGAACTAGATGGTCGCTTCTGTTTCTGATTCATTATACAAGGTGGCACGGCCCGAGGGGCCGTTAAACTGTTCCACGCGGCCGGTGGTCGTCGCCACCGTCACCCAGCCTGAGGGCCGCGCCGTAGCTGACCGCCTGACAGGCCCGCTGGTGGCTCCCCAGAGTCGAAACCGTATCGCGGCATGATGCCCTGCCTGCAGAAGACGACAGTGGCCTGGCTGACATACCTGTTGAAGGCGATGCCGGCCAGCGACATCCAGTCTGCGGCGGCGTTGGTGTAGCGCAGCACGCCAGCCAGGGGGCAGGCGAAGCCGTGGGCCGGGTCTCGCCACAAGCTCGGCCGGCTGTACTGCAAATAGTAGAGCGGCAGGTTCACCAGGCAGTACAACAGGTCCGCCACCGCCAGGTTCAGGATGAAGACGGTGGCGGTGCTGTAGCGCAGTCGTTTGACCTCGCGCGGCGCGCGGCAACAGCGGCTGGCGTAGGGCACGGCCGTGAGCGTGAGGAGGTTCCCCACGCCGCCGAGCACGGCCACCATGCAGCAGACGCCCTTCACCATGTCCCGCGCCCAGTCATGCAGGCCGTCGTCGTCGTCGCTGCTGGTGCCGCTGTCGACGTGCAGCGCGGTGGACAGCACCGCCACGGGACCGTTCGCGGCGCCCAGCATCGTCCCCGGCGCGCGCGCGGGTCAGGGGTCACCGACGCCTCGGGCGGCGCGGCGCCAGCTCGGGTCAGAGGTGAGCGAGCGCGCGCGGGTTCGCGGCAGGTCAGCGGACTTCGAACGCGCCCGCTGCCGACGCTGCGGCGAACGGGATCGCACAGCCGCGGCACCGGTTTGTAGGCCGCGGCGGGGGCGACTGGTGATCGGTACCCGGACACGCGCTCTCCGGACGGCGCGCCGAGCGGAACTGAGGCGCCCGGCGGCCGGCCGGCTGCCGGGGTGGCGCAGACTCGGCGTCATCGCCCGATTCGGCGTCCGTCGACACACACAGACAGGGCCGCAGCCGGACATACGAGTCCGGCAATCACACGGATGTGACGGTGGTGCCGGGGATTGTCCGTCACTGTTGTTGAGGCGGCTTATCTGATCGCCTCGCAGATTGTAGACTGGCGTAGGTCTGGGTGTTTCTGGGGCTGGTCTGAGCAGGTAGAGAAGATCCATACGCAGTGTAGATGCGGCAGACGCTGTCTCAACCTCAGTCAACACCATAGTAGTGCCTCATGCATAGTATCATTCGCAGGGCCAACCGGCGTCGCTGAGATCAATCGGCAACGATAGGCTGTCTGTAAATACCTCTGACCAAGTTCGAAAAGCTCGTTTCGAAGAAGCATCGATTAAACGCTGTGCAGTTTGACGACGCCATAGCAACTGCCTCTAGATCCCATACGCAGCCAAGTAGTGCGATCCAGAATAGCACAGTATTTGCAAGGCGATTGCATTGCATTGCCATGCAATGTACCGCTCTTAAAGCATCCCACCGCAACAGTCGCCCACATCAGAGCATCCCGTCTTCAGCGGGCAAAAGGCAGCAGCGCGTGTTCTGGGTTTAGAGTTATACCATTTTTCCTTGTTCTTCTCATGTGACCCCGTGTGATCAGCTAGAGTCTTAACGGGTTGCATATTCGGATTTGAGCTGATTTCGATGCACCAGCTTAAGTGCGATCTAACAAGCGATCTGCCTTTGTACAAGTTTCATATCAAATCCTGTCCCATCTGCCAGATCAGATATGCTGTTTAGTATAAGCTGTATTAGTCTGCCACATTTCCGTTATTCTCACAGACAATGTGAAACGTAACGTGCATGAAACCGGTTACGACTTACGAGTTACAACCCATCTGTGGTGTTTGCTTTTTGTCCAGTTGAATTTGATCCGTGGCTTTTGAAAGCTTTTACGGCGAAATAAACTGCAATCTGCCGTTTTATCCTAGATATGTGGAACGACCCAATTCTTGTCGCTTCGGGACACGTCAACTACGCTATCTGCAAAAAGAACATGGCTACGGTCAAATTTTCCAGACAACTCGGCAATTGCCCCTTCTATTCTATCCCAATTTGCCGCGGCTGCAAACAGCTCACATTGCATGCAACAACCTAGGCATGCCATGTGGTTGCCGCCTGTGCAAACAGCGGAATAGCCGTGATGTTTGGTCTGTCATCATCGATGCAATCTAATTTCCACGCGCCACTTACTTTCCAATCCCTGACGAATGGCGCCGATCGCATCGCGTTTCGATGTAGCTTCTCTTGTTTTCCTTCGGTCCCCTTATTCACTATGTTTTGTTTCTTCCCTCTTCAGCCCTTTCCGTGCCTTCTCATTTTACTTTTCGTTCAGCCTCCTGACTCCGGGATTGAACGAACACGCCGTCGTTTGGCTGAAGTCTTGTTTCCAGACACACGGCATATCTCCCCCATTGGCCCTTGGGCTGCCCACGATCTCAGTAGGGGCTCATTCGTACCATCTAAACAAAGCGCCGCTTCGATCATCCGGCTGGCGCGGCACCGACCTGTCCAGCTGCAGCGCTGCTGGACAGATCGCCCACCACATCGCCCACCTGTTGAACGAGCCCGGACCGCTCGGCCGGAACGGCTGCCACCGGGGATGAACACTGCACCGTGCGAAAATACGCGGGACTGCAAACAGCGCAGTTGGAACCATCCGAGCACAGCTGTGCTCCTAAACGAAGCTCTGACGTGAAGTGGGTCACTCGGAAAGGGCTGGTACGCGCTGTTTCAGTTTTTCCAAGTTGCCATTTTGTATTGTCATTGGATCTTATTCCAACATTTTTGCTTTAAAAATGTGGCTCAACTTTTGTTTGCTTTAAAATGAGCTTCAAAATCATCAATAGGCACCAGTTACCATTTCAGAGGGGAATATGATGTTACTTCAATGTATTTCTTTGGGGCAAGATTCATGACTCTTTCGTGAGACCCGCAAAACGTCTGACCCGGAAGAGCGCAACACTTTTGATGCATAACCCAGCAGAAAGCTTGTGGCTTTGGGCCAGGCTTTATGCGCTTGTTGTGTGATTTAGAGTTGGTGTTTCCAGTTAAACCGAAAGTGCTACAAGCATGGATAAATACTACAAGAATATAGACATTCGCGTGCACATTTTGAAGCGACTCAGCCCTGACGTTACGTAATCTGCCTTCGCCATTAGCCCAGTGGCAGGTAGCCATTTAATTTGCCCAGCAGTCAAAAAGTGGTGACCTATGGTTCCATTAAACTTAATCGTTATTTTGTGATCCAACAGTGAGCTTTATGAACGAGACCTTAGGTAAACGTCATCGCCGGAAACTACCACGTTATACGCTAAAGCAGCCTAGAATAGTGCCCAGCTCATCGAGGCGTACACACCGAACATATCAAGTGCCACGCACACACATCGCTCGCGCGGGTATAAATCAATCCGCGTCAAAGCCATGAGGCTTATCGAGCCCTGCGACCTAGATACCGAATGGACGACTTTGGTGCCGTTTCAATACACGGGTCGACGTGTCGTTCGCTGACGACACGTGACAAGACTCAATCCAGCGCCTGCAACGCGGTCAGACCTGGTCGCCGAAACTGACACAGAATAAAACCCCAGCGATACTGCGCCGTAGCGAGTTCTGCGGAGACGAGGCCTTTCTGCGGGGGCCACATAACCTCCTGCACCACGGAGTTGTCTCCTGGAAAAAAGGGTCGAGGAGCCTTCTCCGGATGTTGTCTTGGGGTGGAGACAGTGGTCTTTGCCGAGATGGCACCCAATGATGGCACCAATACTCTCAAGGAGGAGAAGGGGTCAACATTTGGCAGTGTCGCCGAAACAGGCGTGTGGCGGGATCACTCTGGACACATGAATGGAGATATGATGAATACAATATTTTAAGTAGCATTAGGCCTTTGGCGATGCATGGAAAGGATCGTCTCAAGATGTCAAAACCAGTGTTAATATCTTCCTAAATCAGCTATGCATTTTGCGAGAAGTGCCGCCCCACCCCAGAGACGATGCCTAAGCGCCTGTTGCGGCGCTCCATGGCCAACAGAGGTTACAGCGGACTCAATTAACAGAGGTTACAGCGGACTCAATTAACAGAGGTTACAGCGGACTCAATTAACAGAGGTTACAGCGGACTCAATTAACAGAGGTTACAGCGGACTCAATTGGCCACAGGGAGACAGAACAGCACCGGGACTGTGGTGTCACGCGACCTTCAGGCAGAAGCGACGAAATGAGCTGTTCCCGGGTTTGATGAATCACGACTGCACTGTGCCACGTAAGCGACGACAGCTCGCAAAGTCTGAGCTTTTCCGGGTTTGATTCTTCACCGCTAGGTCGTGACAACGACGATTCTATCACCCGACGATGAACGATGTTGGCGAAGCGGCATTTCCGGGAACTTCCGGTGCTTCAAGTGGAACCCAATGCAGTCTTCGTACCACTTTATTTTTAGACAGGCCACACAAATTAGCTGTTGTGCAAATAGCTCATCATCCGTTTGCGTACCAAAACCACAAGGACGCTGCATTTCTTACCGGTCCTTTCGCTCTGAACGGTTCCCTGATGTAAAGGCTGTCAGGGCTCCATCCGCACGTGCGAGGAACGGGGGCGAGCTAAAGCCACCGAAAGCGGTTTTAAATCGCCGGAATGCTCTTAAGAACGCTCAAATGAGCGGGGAAAGAACATGCTCGAATGCATCACAGGGGATCCCTCGTCTGAGCGGAGCGAAGAGGGCTCTCAAGTACTTATTGCTTCAGGATATATTCTAAACGCAAGAAGTAATGACTTTTGGGCGGCCCAAGTTCGCCTCCACCTCCGCCCAGCCCTTTCGGGATCGCCAGAGTCAAGTCAGGCAAGATTACTTGGAGCATTTGAGGAGATTCATTGGAGGAGATTTTCGCGAAGACGATTCTGACCAGATCAACTTGGTTTTAAACAAGCCACCGCTGGGCATCCAAGAGAGGGTGCAGGCAGACGATCAGCCTGGTTTGACTGAGGTATCTCGCATCATTTAATCCGGAAAATCCTACAACCAGTGGCGTAGCCGAAGGAAGATATCTCCACCCCGCTGGGGGTGACAGGGACCCTGTGGAGCCAAAGGTCCTACCAATTTGTAGGCCGCTTAAGGCGCCAGAAGGAATCGTAACACACAAAATGGCCCTGGCGCCTCAAAATAGAATCCCAAGCTTAAAAAGGCTCTCCGAATTAAAGACAGGGCCCCTGAAGCAACAGAAATGGGTGTTCCCTGGCACAGAGGGATCTTTGTGCCCTGCTTTGGCCGACTCAGGAGAAAAATCCTGGCTACGCCGCCGCCTATGACCTAGAAAATCCACGAATCGTTTGCATTTGGCGGCCACGGTTCCCGCGGAACTGGCAACCCCTTCCGCTGCTTCACAGCTTGCTGCTCGCTCATTTCAGGGACGCTTTCAGCCCAGAGTTTACGCCGCGCACCTCAAAGCATAACGGAATGCGCCCAAGTTTTCATCTTCTGTTCCGTCAAACGTAAATAAACTGCGGCTCTGGCGTAAGGCGCGCCACCAGTCCCCGGTTTCAGGCGCGCAGCTGTGGCGAGACAGGCCCGCGTCTCTCGGTCCAGCCTCTCGTCCTCTCCATGAGAGCTGCGTCCGACACGGACTGCGGCGACGACGCCCAGCAGCTAATTGAACAGCCACTTCATGGCGTTG